GAGAAGCAGCTGGGGACAGTTTCATATCTTAGGAAACAAATCATGTTTTTGTTTCTTAGCCACAGCTTGTCACCTGAACAGGCATATCAAGGTCTTGATTGGTTTTGTTTACTGCCTCTTTCAGCTGCCCTTTATCTCTTCCCTGGGCAAAGACTTTGGGCCTCAGCTTGGCTACAGCTGAGCAGGACTCTCTAACACCCGTAGGAAATAGATTTGTACTTGAGGAGGATCTGGCTTCCTACCTTGTCACTGAAATAGGAACAAGAGCCATAGCTTTTAAAAGCACCACTTATTACTGACAGTGAAGCAGCCAGAGTGACCAGAGCAGTTGAAAACTGGTGTCTCAGAAAAGCAATTTGGGGATTTCCAGGCATTCTTTTTAGTGCTATATTTGTGCCAAATGAGGATTCAAAATGCAATTGAGAAAGCTCTTCTAAGGCATGTTCAGGTGTCTCTCAACAGAAAGACATTAGCTGAAAAAAGGAAAAGCTGCAGAAAACAGTCAAATTGCTTAAGAAAATTGAGCAGTCAGAAAGCCCATTAAAGCCCACAGCATTCTGGTGTGCAGTAGAAACTGCTGGCTGAAATGGAGCAGAAATCTTCCCACAGCAATTCTCTGGGCAGTGCAAATTCAACTTTCAGCTTTGGAGTACATTTGCTAGAGAAGAGCACTCTGCCCTGTCTGTTCATTACCAGCTGGCCGTATCCTTCCTCCCCACTCCACCAGTCCAGGGAGCAGCGATCAGTCCCTGGTGTCACAGACACCCCACACCTGCACAAACCTCCAGGCAATATGCAGCAGGTTTTTGAGAACCAAAACGATCAGGAGCAGCAGAGGATGTGCAGAGGGCAGGGTAAGAGCAACCACAGCAAGAAAGCAAGGCTGTGATAGGACAACCAGCAACCGGAACCTATGCACATGTGTCTGGAAAAGTTGGAGTAAGGAAATGTACAAAACCAGGATGGACAATTAGGGTGTTTCTTCATCAAAAAAAATGAGTGTCAAAGCAGCCATGTGTCCTAGGGATGAAAGGGAGATGCTTAGAAATGGCTTGTCTGACTAGGAAGCAAGCCAGACCAGGAGGAAAGGAAAAAGCCACAAGGTCACTGAAATGGCAGAGATCCATGGTCAGTAACAGCAGGGCAAACATAATCATGATAAGATCACAACACTTTCCTGAGAGGAATATGGAGAGAATGAACACAGGAACTGGCATAAAGTCTTTTGCAGTTTCTCCAAACTTATTGTTCATTCCACCACAATGCAACACATTCATATCAGATAGAAACCAATCTTTCCAAGCTTTCTAATCTCCTCTTAACCTGAAAATGGGAGAGAAAATGTATCTTCCTCTGCAGTACCTTTAGATATTTTTCTTTCTCCTCATCAAAATCCCAGGTCTTTTAGTCTTGGGAAATGTCCCTCATGCTTCATTCTCACTGAATGCCAAACAAAGGTTCAACCAAATAAATATTCTTATGGCATCAATGACTAAATCCTTCTTCTGTAAAACTTAACCATGATGCTAAGATGTGTGAAAAAGAGAAACCCACTTCCAGTAACTCTCTGCTGATTTGTCTCCAACAGAGGATGTTGTCTCCTCTCCTTTTCCTGTAAAGGAGGCCTGTGTGATTCTACAAATGCATCTTCCATATTTCACAGATACTGGGAGAGTGGATGGGTCAGCCAGTGATGTAGCATGTTAAAGTATCAAGGGAGAGGAGAAAAGGACTTATCTGCTTTTCTTCTCTTTGTCTCAGACTGTCCAGGATAGTCTGGGAACCCTTTTGTGAAGAGGACCTCAGCTGTGACCTCACTGTGCTCCGCTGTGCCTTTCAGGTCCGTTCAAGCCTAGCAAGCTCCTGTAGTTTACAACCTTCTGACTGTAGATTTTTCCTGCCTTATGAGGTTGCAAAAGTCTTATGCAATTGCACAGTGAGAAAAAGCAACAGAAGGCTTAAAGAGCTTTTATAAAAGTCATATGGACATGGCACTTCTAAGTATACTACTTTGTTGGGATATTGAGTATTTTAGCATAAAAATGACAGAAGGGCAGCTTTTAGTAAACACACAAAAAAAGAGAAAAAACTAGTCTGAGACAGACAGCTTAACTGTTTTCTGCAGGGCTAAGCCTGAGGAATAAAAAGAAGTATAAAAATCCAATAACCTTTCCCATTGGGGTCAAGTGGTTGTTAAAGTGGTGTCTGGACAATCTTTTCTTCTATCCTCTGCCTGCTTTTCAGCTGATTCATAACATCACAAACATCAGCCCAAATATCCTCAATATACTTTGTAATAATAGAAAAATAAGCAGCATAGTAGTTACTTTATCCAAGTATGCAAGAATATTTTTCTTTTTTTTCCCTTCAAGTACTCTGTATTTTTTTTAAATAGACCATTCCACTTTCTAAAGAAGAAGTATTTATAAATTACATGTCTGGAAAGAATACCAGTAACATTTCACAAGGCAAGTTTGACAAACTAAAAAAAGCAATGCTTTATTTTGCCCCTAGCAAAATTTTTGCCAACCACTAGTTATACTTTAAAAAGCTGAATTTTTTATATATATATATATATATATATAAAAGATCTGTGGTTAACTTTGCAGAAAGAATCTAATGGTGGCACCATGGCAGGATGGGTGAAATGTGGGTGATCTGCAATATCCCTGCGCCAGAGCTGTCCAGCTAATGCAGGTGGTTACTGAGGGCTTAACTGGGGGAAGCTGAAGGAAGAGTGGCTGGAGGAGCCTGTTGGAGCTGAAGATAGATATGATTTTTGGAGTCTGTTCTCACAGTCCTTGCCTAGATGATCTCTGTCAGCCTTTTTACTGGTTTAGGTGAAAAAACTGGCAACATGAAGCACCATAAGGGAGGCTGTGTAAAGTGCTGAGGCAGAAAAAAGGAAGAAGGAGTCAAGGGAAGAAAGTATGTGTCAAGGGAAGAAACTGGAGGTAGGGAATTAGGATATTTTGTCTCTCTAAACAGCAATCCATCATGGAGATTTCCTTGTGATTACAGGAGAGCACTGCTTAAATCACTGTCTGCCATTCAAGCTTTAATAAAGGCCAGGCCTGATCAGCTTTGCATGCATTGCTGAGATATGTCTGGATAAGATTTGTCTGATCTAGATATTTGCCTGTCCCCCAAGCCAGACCAGCAGCAGTTTGCTGTTGGAATAGCAGAGTCTCAGATCTTTGTCTTGCATCTACCAGTTTAGTCTCAATTTGGGACATACCAACAAACATTTTGATAGTTCATCTCCAGCTATCTCCTCTCAACTTGCTGCAGCAGAGACAACAGAGGAGTTACCAAGTCAAGAAAATTAAAACATACCTTCTTTCTCACAGAATAGGGAAGAGTATTATGGAATATATTGGTTTTACTCTAATAAGTAAAGCAACATCAGAATAAACATCTGCACCACCCCCTCAGTCTGATCCTCTCATAGCAAAACCACCAGTGTCCGCTTTTTGATCCTTAAACAGCAAAACTGAAAATCCAGCCTTTGTAATCTTCAATTGAGCCAGTTGGTGGAATGCAGATGCAAAGAATGAGATGTCTTGCCATTGGCTGTAACCTAAATCTAAAGACACTAAGCCCACAGAGATACATTAAAGTCAGAGAGCCCGTCAGGAAGGCAGATGGCAAAATAAACAATTCAGGAAAAAAAAGCACTAAACCCCTTGGTGGCACTTAATAGTAACATGGGTAGGACAAATCTCACCAGGGTAGGGAACATTAACAGCCTGTTTGTGACAAAATGAAATAAAATTATTTGAAATGACACTTATGTTCTCATAAATCTGACCAACGCTTCTATTACTGTTTTTACCTGGGACTTCAGCCTCTGCTTGGGATGCTGAAAGCTGCTTGCATAAAGGAACCAGGCACATGATGGAAGCCAGCATCCCTGACACAATTCATTCTCTGCAGAGTTTCCTGTTTCCTGGAATGCAGGGGGACTCCCCTGACAGACCACAGCCTTTGTTCATGGCTCCCAGCCCATTTCTGCCACCTCTCTGTCCCACAGATCTGTCTGCAGGTGCTCTCCCTGGGAGTGTGCAGGGCTGAGGCTGTCCAGGCTTTCTTTGATGCATCTCCCTCTGATTTTTTTAGGGGTAGTTTCCTTCCTTTCTTTTTATAATTATCCATCAGTCAAAGTTTTAGACTCTGTTTTCTATGTCAAATCCCAGGAAAATCTACAGCTAGATAAATCCCACATTTCAGGTCTTGCCTGGTATGTCAGCTACTGTGTCACTGGAAAGAAACTGAATTGCCTTCTCCATGAATTCAGAAATATGGCTGCTGTACAGACCCCCATCTATTACCTTTCTAATGCTATATGGGCACTCAGATCCTGCTGCTCTCAGCAGGACACTCTCTGATTTAAGGCTGTGGCTGCTCAGGCCTACATTTGAACACTCAGCTGGCTCAGGTTTCAGCAGGTGTCTCACCTCCTGTGGTTTGGCTGTACTTTCCTGGGAGCTGGTCTTATTGCACAGTGAGAGACAGCTCTGTCCCTGGAGCACTGTAGAGGGAACAGGCAGAAAGGGAAAAGTGGCTACTTTTTACTGCTTCCCTGCTATATTTCCCTGTACCAGTCACCCTCCATGTGCTCACTGCTATGTGGAGTGCCAGAAGACCTGCTGTGCCCAGTGAGGAGAGGGAGAAAAGCCTTGTTGCAGTGTCTGAATTTTGTATATCTCACCAAAAAGAGTTTCTCTTGGTTTTGTTCTTCTAGTTTTGAGTATCGCTTTTAAAAAAAGCCTGCAATTAAACCACAAAAACTTCCAGAGATCTATCCAGGAAGATAATTTCAGAACAAGATCAAACTCTTCTTCTTTGTTTCTGTCCATAGAATCTTGTTGCCACACAGGTAATTGCAATAATAGGCTCCACCAGCTAAGCTGACCAAGAAGACAGAAAGACAGATACCTCTGCACCTCTGACATTTGTCTAAATAACTCTAGTGTCCTTTACTAGTATTGCAGTGACCTCTAGGAGCCTGCTCCAAGTCCATCGGCGTCACTGTCTCTTACTGACTTAGCCCAGACTTCCAGAAAGTTTTCTAAGCCTGGAAGGATGAGTATAGTACAGATGAAAAAACCCAAAAAACGTGAGTGTGCTGATGAGACACAGAATAGCCTAGAGCCTTCCATCTCTAAGCTGCTGATGTCTGCATGGTTAAAAATGAACTACCTAGGGCTATACGAAGCCCTGGTGTTAGCCTGAACAATTCATCCACATCCATTTACCTGAAATCTAAATTTGGTTTATAGCATTTCAGAACCACACAGAAGATGACAGTATCTCTTTAATGCTGAATCAGAGCAAAAAGTTTCCAATTTTTATGCATATCAGCACAAAAGAAACCACTTCCACTTACCCAGGAGTACTGTAGATCCATATCTGTTAGGGAATATGTAAGATGTGGCTGATGAGAAGAGCAAGTACAGTTTTCCCATTCTTCTATTTTTGAAATTAAAAAGTCACAAGGACAGAGCTGGTTGTCAGGAAACGGCTTCCAGTCACTCCACAAGTGAAATTCAGTTTCAGAATGAATTGAAATAGTTCCTAAGTTATTAAGTCTGGAAGTGTATGAGCGGCCCAGAGATGCAGAAATAAAATCTGTCCTGGTCTCAGTCTCTTCTTTTCTTCTTGTGTTATCTTTCCATGTCTTCTTTTCCTGGGGCTTTGTCAGCTTCATGCAAGAAGTTAGTGCTTCTTCATCCTCTTCAGAGAGATAAGCATCTTCTAAGGTATCTTTAAAAATACAAACACTTGTTATAGTATGTTGTAATTCACTGAGAAAGTAGCATACTTTAACTTAATAGCTGTCTTTCCCTCTATATAACAAAGTAGTCAAGGATTCAGTTTAAAAAAATTAACAACAAAAAAGCTCCCACAAAAAAACCCAAACCAAACCAAACAAAAATAAACAAAATCCACACATGCACACAAGCCCCCCCCACCCTCCCCCAACAAAACCAAAACCAAATAATTATGATAATTAGGGAGATGGAAAGGATTTTTTACTGGGTCAGGCATCTGAGCCAAAAGTGAGATTTATTCTTCATTTGGTATATTCATCTTGTTCCCTCAAAGGTGTGGAAAATTTTATTAGTTCTGCCCATGAAAATTTGCTAACTGAATGTCATATTGCTGATAGTTTCAGACAGCATGAGTTGAGCTGGAAAAGTTCAGGAAGCTTTCTGGACAATTGCTTTCCCACCCCTTGTATGCATGTTGTAGTTTAAAACTAGTTTCTAAATCCCTATTTCTTCATGTGTTTCAGCCCAAGCAGTGATTTGGCTGGAGCAGTAGTTCAACAGATAATTTAAACTTGTTTTGCTAATACTGGTTTATAAATAATCATACAAACAAGTGCATTGTACAACCAATGCATGCACTGTTAGAACAATGTTGGCAAAACAAGTTCAGAGGACAAATTGTTGCACAGTCAGACCAGAGATCTATAGGAGACTCCAGAAAATCAGCTGAGGCCAAAATCAGTTCAGAATTCCTGTGTCTTACACCCTGGGCACTCATGTATGATGAGAGACTGACTTGCTAATCATTCCTCAGACCTTCCTGCACTCGCAGATACTACTGACCCATGGATTAGCACTGGAAATTATCTTCCTGCTTGTGAATTTTGCCTTTCTGACCCAAAATGTGATACAAAACTAGGAAACCCAAAGTGTCCCCAGCATGGAGGCCCCTCTGTTATACAATTCTATTTATCTAGAATCCCCACTTGCGAGATCTACTGTTACAAAACTCCAGCTAGGGTGACAGGAAACAGGTTTTCACACTATGAGGAAGTCAGCGCTGGAGTGGTATCACAGTAACATCTCAGTTGGGGGTTGAAAATTGTGGGTGGTGAATGACAGACCAGGACAGGATTGTTTACAGTTATGTTCAATCCAGTGCCATTTGCCAAATGTTGGAAAGAATGCTGAAGTGATTCTGTACTTACTGAGGGGAACCAGAACGTGCTTGACATCTTCCAAGCTTTGTGTACTTGTTTTCTTTGTTCGGACCAATTTCTGCAGTCTTTTTAGTGTTCCCCTGGACTCAGCTTTATTGTCTGATTCTGTACCCTGCCAAAAAAATAAATTAAAAAAAAAAACCAAAAAAAACCAAAAAAACCAAACCAAAACAAGAAAGACATTGAAATCATTCAAACCTTAAAAATAAAAACTACATGTTATATGGTATTTATCTTGAGAATGACAAAGTGTTGGATTCAAAGAACTGATCATTGACACAATGCTTTGAAAGTTAGGCTTTTCCTTGCTTCAGACAAATAAGTAAAAGAAGGGGAAAAGGCAACTCACGAGAAATATCAAGCTTAGACCAGTGTTCATATTGCTGTTTGCATAGTACTTTTTGTGAGTACCTGAGCATTACTGAATACAAGCAGGACCTAGTGAAATAAACATATTCCCACACTCCAGAAGATCTGAAATTGCTTTATTCTTTCAGGCATTATGATAAAATACTCTTAGTTATATAAATTATTATTATTATTATTATTATTATTATTATTATTACTACTACTACTACATTATAAATTATTGTTGATGTTGTTGTTCTTGTTGTTGTTATGTGTTTAGATACACCTTGCAGGCCTACCTTCATGGGCGATATAAATCACACTGATGCTGATGCAGCCTGTGCTGACTTCTTTCCTTAAAGACAGGACCCTAGGAGTCCTCCTTCTTTAATGACAATAATGCAAAAATTCTCACAGTGGTTAGTACTTGGGTTTAGACTCCCTTCTTCTCAGCAGCAAGCTATATTTCATGAAATCTGCATTGTTCTGGAAACTGGGAATCAACCACAGGAGCAGATCAGGAAGCCAGAGAGTTGACACCTTTTCATGTCACCAGTGTCTCCTGTAAGTCATGGCTTCATTTATGTCTTAGTTTTGCAGTGAATTTTGCAGCTATCCCTGAAAGCTGCACTTTGGTCTCAAAGTGCCACAACCTGAACTCATTACAGACAAAATTAAAACAAAAGACACTTTCCAGAAGTTCAGCTGATGACCTCCCGCTTCTTGTTGGTGTCCAACAGAGAGGATGTGAGCACAGGTAGACCCCTCAAAGGACACAGCGTGGACATCAGCTCATCAGCACCAACTGTTCTGCTGTGCTGTTTCTGTCCCTCACCTGTGTGTAGATTTCTTTCTTCTTCCAAATTCAAGATAGCAAGAATGCATTTTTACCTCAGCTAACGAGAGAAATTGAGGTGCAATTTTTCAGTCTCTCATTGTGAGATGTCTTTGCAAAATAAATCACAGTGGTTCAAAATGCTAATATTGCTCTCACATTAGATCTCTTGTAGCAATAATAATTTGTTCACTTGTAAGTAACGACACAAAAGCAACATGATGACTTGGATTTATGATCTGGGATTTCCATCATAGAGACATCAAGATAAATGGAAGATAATCTATTCAGATAATTTCATTAATGGCAAACTCTAATCCTCTTTTCCTTAAAAGCACTCATTTCATAGAGTCTATTGTTAGGGAAAAGTCATAAGTGCTTAAATAATAAATGCAGTAACTCTCGTTCATGGAGAAAAAAGCTCGTGCAGTATCAGCTGGTGGTGAGACAGCTTTTAAATTTACAGTATTTTATTTTGGCTTACCTAAGCATTGAAATATGGATTTTTATCTGCCTATCCAAACATTCTTTGGTGTAGAAACCAGACAATCAGGTGAACTGTGCTTTGCCCCAATCTATAAGCAAAGCTATCTATAAGGAAAGAATTCCCGCATGAAAAAGAACCAAGAATATTATTGATTTCTCTACTTAATGGGTTTTAGTGATGAAAAAATCATGTCGCCTCACAAATCAACATGAATTGTATAAAAAAATAAATCACAGACTGCCCTTTAGTTGCAAATAATTTTCATTAAATGTGCAGGAATACTTAAGCACAGAAAATATACATTTTAAAGATGCATTTTAAAATGCATTACAGAAGAAAAACCTAAATTGTATCTCATAAACTGTTTCCAGTTTACACAAAGGTATTTTAAATACCTTAGAAGTCTTTGCACAGTGAGATGTTATGAGGATTAACCTGGTGACAGCAATACAGCAATTTGGAAGCTAAGTGTAAAACACTGCTGGTGAGATTCCTGCAATCTCAGTCCTGTTGAGCACTCTCTTTCCTGGGTGTAACTGCATTAATTTCAATAAAACTACTTGCACAGCATGTCACTTCTCAGCATAAAGAATTTAGTCATGGCACAGTCTAATCTCTGTGATTTTTCTTCAACTGCTTTACCTTTCCCAAAGAAGTGCAATGATTTAATTGTGTCTACCAATGCACTTAAACTCAGAGTACAGTGTAATAGTGTGAAGATAAATATTAGTGTGTGTTTACTGTGTCCACGGTGCTAATTGTTATGGTACCTTAAAAAATGTTTGAGAATCTTCAGTAATAACATGGCTGCACATAATTAATATTAAAATAGCATGTGATGATAGACAACTTCTTGTTCTGTTTAAAAGAGTTCTGTAAGACACACCAAATTTGGACAAATTTTCTGTTAAAAAATGTCAATAAAGCCATGGTCAGCCAGTGTATAGAGAAGCACTGTGCAGACTTTCATGCACTCCTGCCCATATATATTTGACCTTTAAATATTCCCATGATGTTGGTCTGGTACTCCAACTAGCTTAAAAGGAGTGCAAAGCAGACTAAGCAGGCTAGGAAAATAGGCAGATTCTGTCCTGGGAATCACAGCAATAATACAGTATTCTATAAATGATAAAGAAATGTAATGATTAATAGCAGAGCAATAATAAGGTATTCTACAGAAGACAGAGAGATATCATGATTAATAACATGAATATGGATAAAGATCTTTCAGCTTCTGGAGGAGGAACATATAGCACAGGAAAAACCAGCCTGTTCTTCCCAGCTGCTGGTGAAAAAAATTAACAATTTTCATGGCCACTCACCATGTCACTGTTGCCAGGCACACCTGGATTGTGAACTCGTGGTGGGATCCATTGCTCATAGTTTATCACCTAGACAGTAAGAAAAGTAATATAAAACAAATTTACGACTTACATAAGATGAATAAGCATAATTAGCATTGTGTAATTAAATATAGACAAGAACTCAGCATTTTTTCAGGCTGGTACTGTGTGGATATGAAATTAAAAGACTGACTTACACCAGCTGCCACCCATTGAAATTGTTTTGGTATTGAGCTGTCTTGACTTCCTCAGTTATCTGGGACTCAGTAATGTCTTGGAGACATCACAATGAAAGCAGTACCATGGCAGAGGCATGCATTATATTGTGGGATGCTTGGATCTCATCCTAGATCTTGGCTTTCTTTGCTCAATGAACAGGAAAGCCAGAGAAGACTGCCCTCAGCAGCACCCTCCCCAGCTCAGTAGCATCACTGATGCAGTTCTAAAATGCATCTTGCTTAGTTCACCTCACTTTTCCTGGGATGTTGAGCACCAAGGGTGTGAGTTTGAACTGGATTAGCAATGTGGAGAAAATGGGATGATCCTCAGAAGTAAGACAAGACTATTTACACTTTGATCATCTGCCCATAATGCATTTGTTGGTCACAGTGTCCTCAGGAGAGGAGCACCAGGGGAATACACCTTCCTTGGGGCACTGCTGCAGTCCCCAGGGGGCAAGCCTGGCAGTGCCTACAGCTCAGCGGGAAAGTGATGAACACTGGCCTTTTTCCTTCATGAATATGAATGACACGTTGAAGGCTGAATGCAACCTATGAATTTACGTGAGAAATGAGGCATGAAACATTTTTGAAAATGTATTAGCCCAAAGACTGCGTTACTTGGTATTTTATGTCCTTCCCAATATGCTACAAAGGCTTCGAGCCATCAAGGGAGCCCTGCTAGACACGAGTAAATAAGAACAAAGGTACAAAAAATATATGCAGAAAGTAAAGGCATTTTTTATGGTAAGGTACAATTATTGCAGCAGTGCTCATGCTATATCCCTCAACCGTACTTCTGTTTTAAGCCCCATTTTCCAGCACTTACAGAATGAATGGAATGAATGAATGTCAATTTAGGAAATGGAGAAGGATTAAAGCTTTTTGTGAAGCACTCCGGGAAACTTATTTGCTTTCTCTTTTTTTATTTTTTTCCTTCAACAAGAGGAAAAAATAATTTGAGGTGTTCATCTGTGCTATTTACTCCTGCTTGTAAATTTGCCTCTTCCATGGCCCACAGAATCACAAACTCCCTTAGACCAGCAGAGGTAGAAATGCACTTTTGGGGATTGCCTAGTTTAGCTCCCTGCTCACGACTGGTCACCAGAGCAAGTTGCATAGGTCCATCTCCTGACAGGAATGTCTCCAAAGATGAACTTCTCATATCTTCTCTAGGAAGCTTCATCAGTGTCTGACCACCTCTTATACTAGAAGAGTGCTTTCTTTATGTTCAGTGAAATCCTGTATCTCAGTTGTGCCCATTGCTCCATCACATTCCTGGGAGTAGCAGCCTGTAATTCCCTGGACCTTCTGGGAGAGCTGAGTTGTGTGAACTATCCCACCCAGTTTTGTGATCCTGAGGCTGCAGTTGTGCAATTGCATGCAGACTTCTAATTCCTCCTGTCTGTTCCCCATGCTGCGTGCATCAGCAGACCGGCACTTCATAAGGACTCATTTGTGCTGATTTTGCAGAAAAAGAGCTTCCCCCATAATGCTGTTCTCTCAGCATTTCCTTGTTTGTGTGCATAATGTAGTGCAGCAAATGAAAACAGATATAATCAGACTATTTTGAAAGCTTAAAAGAGAATCATATCATTATATATGATGGTATATGATAATGAAGACCTGAGGTAAATCATGTCAGTCACTAAAATTCAAAATAATTCCATTAAACTTGAATTTTTTATAAAGCACATGCAATAGTTCTTAAACTGATAACAAAGTTTGGAGGGACCAAAGTCCAAGTCATCACTTGTACACCTGAAAAAAAAAAAATCTTCTAATGCTTTGAGAAGTCAAAAAAAGGACTTTGCTTCTAAAATGAGGCAAATAGTTCATGGGGGAAAGTTTTAAGGGATTTTATAGGAACTTATACTTAGAGCAAACATAGGCCTTATTTGCTTTTCCCCTCCATAATCTGTCATATCTGAGGAATGACCTCTGGGATCTTTACCAGGAGCCAGTCCAAAAGCTGTCATGGCAGGATAGGGGCAGAGCCAGAGATCCCTCACACTAAGGGAAGAACCATTGTAGGAAATGAAAGAATAATCTTTCTCCACAATACTTAGAGAATGAGAGAAAGAAATCAGAGAAAGACAATGAGAGATGCAAAAGAAAAATAGTTTCTTTCTCCTTTCCTTCCTCCTCAGATACTCTTTTGTCAGCTGGGAGAGGAGATAATCATGCGAACAAACTACCAGTGCAGAGACAAATAAAACCCTGAGGGAAAGCAGGAGGAACCTGGGACACAGTGACTTTCCAGGCACTGGTTTCCAATATGGAAATTTTCTATCCGCCAATATGCAGAACATTTGACTTTTTTTGACCCACATCTCTACTTTGACCTACACTGGAGCTGAGCACTGCCTAAACATTGGGTCTTCACAGTTCTCTGTCTTATGTCAGATGTCTTGATGGTGATGAATGTACATTTTTTTCTTGGTTTTAACCTAAACATCTAAAAGGATGCCGGACATTGTATAGAAACAACAGAGAAAGCTCAGCTTAGAGCTTTTTCTAAAGTTTATTGCTCACTTTGAATTTAAAACTTTTCTGCAAAAGAGAATTTAATAGATTTTGAGCTTCTAAATAATTTTATTGTATTCATTCCTCGTTTAGAACACACACACATATATACAGGTGTGTTACACATCCCAAACTGGGTAAACTTTTATGTCCTGTGAAATCAGCAGAGCTAAGCTAGTTTGCCAGAGATAGGAACTGAAGTAAAACATTATCAGAGCAAACACTGGACTGGAAGTGAAACAAAACTCAAACACCAGTCACCCCAATTCCAGAGGTACAAGTCTTTCTCCTCACCTCTGCTGTTCACCAGCTGATGGGTTGTTTCCTACTTTTATGTTGTTGCTATGATTATGCAAACCCAGAGGTCAGAATTCATTAATTCCTCATGGCAGTGGGATGACTAGTACAGATGTAGGAAGAAGAGATAGTATATATGTTATAGAAATTCAGAAAGCATTAGGATACATATACCAATATGGATCATGCAAGACAGATCTGAACACTCAGTACAGATCTCGCCAGACACAGTTCTAGCACATCAATTTAGCAGAAATGTATTCACTTGGGAAGGAAGAGGTTTTCTAGGCAATGAAATCCATATGGCCTGCATGAGAAAAATCCTGAACAACTTTGGAATTCACCAGAGTCTTCTTTTAAAATCAGCTTCTAAAATACAGAGGCATACTGAGTATGAAGTTTAGGCTAGGCAAATGATGAATGGAAACTAGAAATGAAATCTTATTTGAATGAAAATTTAGATTCTGAAAAAAAAGTAGTTGTTTCACCTGACATGTTGTTTCTTCTATCTTCTTTCCTTGGAGCAAATGTATTCCATCAGCAATAATATTATCTTCTGTGAATTATGACCAAAAAAGAGAAAACATACTTTAAAATGTCCTGCTTTATGTTTTAATGAGGAATATCATTTGAATTGCACTTGATGCTTTGAGCTGACATTTTGACTCTCTGAAGTTAATCTTATATCATTTAAGCATACATTTTATCTTAAACTGCTTTGAAGTGAGACTGCAGAACAAATTGGCAAACTGACTGACAGAAAGAAAGCTCATTCATGCTTATTTCTTCTTCTGTACTCAGCCCTCAGTTTACTAACCCAGAACCCCACTGTGACTTTCCTCTTGCCCTGCTAATTTACAGCAGCAAAGTCTAGAATATTCATACAAAAAATGAAGGGCAAAAATGATCTTTTCAACTGAGATCTGTTTAACTTAGATTAGATTAGAAATTGCTTTCAAAGGATGAACATCCATCTCTTGTAGTAAATGAATGTTTGGATGGGAAGAGTATTAACCTTCACTACAACAGTGAGCAATAATAGGTCAAACAAGTCTGAAAAAATTATTTTAAGCAAGCTTACTTTGAAAGATCTACTTTTACTCCCAGTCTTAAGGCAAAGCACCCACCACTGTGCAACTGTAGGACAGCCCTAGTGATTAGATTCCATCAGAAGAGATGTCAGGATCACTCAGACATTGCAGGGAGGGAAAAAAAAAAACATGAAGAAAAATATCTGCTAATCACACCACATTTTCCGAAGTCACTAGAAAACAGCAGGAAAGTTTTGGGGTTTTTTTCCTCATTAATCCTAATTTGGCTTTGTTATTGCTTCTGTGGAATACCTTACAGCATCAGTAGTTCTCCTGATTGCAAAAGGACAGCTTACTTAATACATAGATCCACAAAAACTAGCTGTACACAGGCAAGACTGATTGCATTCCCTACTATTAACAAGAAAAGAAAGAGTAATTCAGGGAAGAATTCTGAGTGACTTAGATTCTTTAACTATTACATGGGAAAAGTGTCTGAATGTGATCATTAAAATTTATATTCAAAGAGGCACATAAGATCCTGATCCAGATTTTGTCTTAAGCACCTACAAATCTGCCTGAAGTCACTGAGGGCCTGGCATCTGACAATCTGGTTGTTTATTTCATTATACAGCTAGCTGGACTTCCAGGAGCACCATAACTCATGTTAAGCAGTGCTCATGCAACCCCAGATTGATGTAACTGGGTCCTTTCTGGTCCTCAGGACAACTTGTTTCCATCTCCTGCAGGCATCTCTGTACACCACATCCCTATGCTCCATGAGCTTACTCTGGAAATTCAATCCTGCAGTGTTCAGCTCTTTGCCCCAAAGTCCTCCTACAGTCTAATCAAAAATACTATTACTGAGTAGCTGTTTGCAGCTGAAGCACAAATAATTATGGGCCAACACAGAATGCCTTTAACCTGACAGACTACACACAGTGACACTGCTTTTGACGTAGGATTTCAAACCCAAATTAAAACAGCAAGTTATTAAAGCAAACCTCAGTGGTCCCACCAAACCACAATGTCTTTTGTTAGCCATAATATCCTGCACCCACAGTGCTCTTACATCTTGCTTAGATCAGCTCTCCAGCCCACTGAATAACGGAATAAAGTATTTGTGTAAAAAACCAACCAAACTGCAACAACAATAACAAAACAAAACAAAACAAAAAACAACAACAACAAAAAAACCTGCCAACAAACACACAAAAAACCCATGCCAAATATATAAATGAACTTCAAACAGAGCTGCAGTGCTGTTGTCTTCCTAGTCTGCCAACAGATACCAGTCATCCTCCTGTGGAACAAATTAAGAGCAGTGGAGAATAACATCCACTGGCTCTGAGAGGTGTTGGCTCTTCCCTGTTTGTCTCCATAATCTTTCATGGAAGCCCAGTGACTGTGACTTCCATAGTCAACTTTTCAACAATGATGCTTTCAGGCTGGCAGATCTCGTTCTGATGGTTTTGGTTTGGCCTTGTGAGCAAAGGCAGGTGTTTCCACTATTGTGTCTGTGGGATATGTATGTGTTCACTGCATTTTCATCATGGAAAACTTGATGCAACTTGTAGATGTAATAACACACATGCTGTCATCAAGGGCTTCATCCAAAGGCTACCAGGATCTGTGGATGTCTCTACAATTATTTCAGTGAGATTTGAGACAGGTTTGTGGATACAGCTCAGAACTAAGCAGAGAAGCCTGTGGTGACCACCATACATGGCTTTTAAAATGTAACAGAAATTAATTTTATGCAGTAGACTTGCAGACCTTGAAGGATTATCTCTGCTAAGAGAAAAGTTTGATCAATAGTGATGAATTATCTTGATCGATAGTGATACACTGTAAATCTCCTTGCAAAGGTTTTCACCACTGTGTGAAGGGGACTTCCCTTGAAATAATTTTACTGCAGTAGGGGAAAGGGAGATTTTTATTTAGCTGCCAGCTTTGCTTCCTGTTCCCTCTGGGCCCCTGCCCTTCAATTATAACACTTGTCAGCTTTTAAAATGTGCACTGCTTCTTTTGCATGCTTGGATATTTAAAAGGGTAAAAAATGCCTGGAGTAGAAAAGACTTTGAAGGAAGGTCAAAAAGTTCTGCTTTCTCATTCAGCCAATGAGAACCCACTTCCAATCCAGTAACCTCTGGAGTATCATTGGAAGAATCATTCCAAAATGTTTTTGGTTAAAAGTAAGACTTGTCAGGAGGGAAATGCCTAATGTTTCTTTCACCTATCATTAGAACCTGTTCCTTCCAAGCCACTGACATTTATTGAGGGTCCCTTTTCCCCTCACTAGTTCAGTACAAAAATTCCTCTAAATCTTTCTGACATCTTATTTCTGGTTCTGTTTTAAGAAACCAAATTTGCCCACAGATGGGCAAATGCAATATCCATTGCAATTTCAGATCTATTTCCAAACATTCAAGAGATTAACTACAAGTGGTGAACTGAACTAAATTCAGAAGGAAAGTTGGCCCCCTGTCCTTTGCTTTCTTTGACATATCCATGTAATAGTGGAATCTCCTATCAGTGGATGATCTCCATTTGTGCACAAGATATTCCCACTTTTTTATTTTAAATTGAGAACAAGACATACTTTCACTTTAATCTCACATATCTTGGCTCCTGCTTCTGCTGAGTCTTGTCTGGTTTGGTCTGATTAAGCAACAGTGAGAGATCTACCTTAACTTTGAAAAGTACAAATATAAATGCCATTCCTGGAAGCAACATCAAGCAGATTATCAAAGCATGTTGATTTTTCAAGTCCAGTTTGTGTTTAAATAGGTGAGGTTATTGCTCACTTGTTAATACTCAATGTTATTTTAATGAATTTATATTGGTACATTCTTAAGCGGTGTCATTAGCAACTTCCTAACATTAGCTGTATGGTTGTTTAAATAAAGGTAGTTAGAACAGGTTTAGAAAGAGAATCAAAGTACTTTCATCTAAAATTTGACCAACTCTATTTTGCCACAAAAAGTTTCTTCTGAGAAAAGTGGCACCCTTTCCCTGTTGGATATCTGGAGCTGTGTAAAATATCCAGGAAACATGGATTACTACAGGTGGCAAGCCCTATACAACACAACTATGGCAATTTACTGCAGGGAACGTCTCTTTTGGCCCATGGACTACAGAGTGAATTTGTCATAAAGTGTGTTCTTGTCTTCCCAATTTTAAGATAAGCTTTATTCTAACAACTTCTACCCCCCTTGAGGACAAAATAAATCTCTAAAAGATCTGACAAATTTTTTAGCTGAATTATTGGTGAAAAATGAAAAATTTTCCAAGGTGCCTTTTTAAATGCTTTGTTGAAAGTGCAAAATCAGCTGAAATATGTTTAGCAATTACCTTCAAGCTGGCAGTGCCTTCTGATGTACGAATCATTCTCTGGCTTCCTGGAACCCTGCCAAAGTGTGCCATTCACATTTTTCCTGTCTAAAGTAAAAGCACAGAGAGCAGTCACCTGAATTCATAGCAAACCTGTGAAATAACAGGAAATTCTATAAAAATAGCATCAGAATGCAAATCAAACAAGCTTGCAGAACACTGGAGCATCTGCTCAGACATGGAAATGAGCTGATGATTTTGTAATATAGGAATTTGGATGGATGGATAGATGGATGGATGGATAATATTTATTATGGTCAGACTTCAAGTTTTATCATCTTTTGCTATGGTCTAATACCTCATTTAATACTGTTAGCACATCATCAGAATGATTGTTATCTTAACCCTGGATCTAAGACCTAGGATCCCATGGAAAATCTGTGACTTTACTTCAAGGAATTGTATAATTATTATAGTATTATATGTTGAACATTGTACTAATTGTATAATTATTATCCTTATTTAAGTTTATCATTACTGAACTGAAATGTTTGCAAGGAATAGCATCAAAGATGCCCACAGGAATGCCCTGTGGACTCCAAGGCTTGGACTGTCTGAGCCTGGCTGGCTAAACTAGGCTGGCTTTGGCCTTTTGAGATGGTCATTCTCCTGCTCCTTCAGTGTATTCAGAGTGCTCATGCTGCACAACATGCAGACAGCTATGCTGGGTTGGTGCTTTCTGGGTTTGTTTGGTTTCGTTTTGTTGAGTTTTATTTAATGCTGGGTTTCACTCAGAAAATCTCCATTGTGGAAGCTCTTGTTGATCCTGTCAGGTGCTGGGAATTCATTACAGCCTGTTTGCTGTAGACCAAATGACACTGTCCTGCATGAAAGTGTTCCTTGTGCAGGGCTGCAGAGTGAAGCCTTAACACGGGGGAGCTTTCATCTGTCTGAGACACCTTGTGGAAAAGAGCCACATCGTTACAGCCACATACAATACCCTTTATACTCAGCAAGGACTAGATACAACAACTGAACCAAAACTCCACAGAATAAATGAAAGCATGATAACAGGAAGCTCTCACTGAAAAAAAAATATCCAGGAAATTTTACTTTTAAGAAGCTGATGATTATTTCCTATAGAGTATTTACAAGATAGAACCCATTGAAACACAAGTGTAGATAACAATACACAATGTCAGGATGGGTTTAACAAAACCCCTGAATTTCCTTCTTGATGATCTTGTTTGTGAAAATTCTCACAAAGTAGCTTAAAATGAGAAAGGGCAGGAACCTGAATTTTCTTAGATCAGAGACATTTCAGGTCTTTATTGAAATGATTAAAAGAAACACAGGAGATGCTGAGTATTTCTAAGAACCATAACAGGTTCTTCATCTCAATATGGTTTCTATATATTTAACTAGTTTGTTTTCAATATCTACCTACATATGTGTGTGTAGAAAGCAGGGAAGAGGGGAGAATATATTGATAGCTTAATTCTATTTTTTCCTTTCCTTCGCATTTTCTCCAACAGCTGTAAAACAAATCAGACCCTTAATTAAAGTTGGCTCTCTGAGATTAGCAAGTAAACAGTAGATGATTTAAGCAGCTACTAACCAAATGCTTCATTTTCAGACATGGACTTCTGGATGGATCTAAAAGAATTAAAAGAATTTACCATTAGCTGAAAGTCAGAATGAAAAAATTAAAGCGTGTTTAATCAAATATGGGTATTTTCAAACTAATTCTTCAAAGCAGGGCACAGGGATTTAGCTGTGTTATTCCCACTGGCTTTAACTGGAGTTACTTGTCTCATTCACATTCATCTACTCCCACATCCCACACAAAGCTTTGAAAGCATCTGAAGCTCCATTCTGCAAGAATATGTGACTCAAGTTTCTTTTTGAAGTGAAGAATTCATGCTGAAATCCGGGGAACCCATCAAGAAGAAGAGATACTTTCCTTTAGACATGATCAGAAGTGTCCTACAACTTTTAGAATTATTGCCTTAAGTTTGGTGACATGATAAGGGATTGAACCAAAGAGCTGCATATGAACATACCATCCCCAGGGCCCTGAGTGATATTTTATTGCCCCAATAAACCTTGAGCTTTTTGCACATTTACATCAAGGATCACTCCTAATTCATGCTTCCATCTGTGGTCAGTAGCTCATAGAAGACAATTTGAAAAATGGATAACAGAGGGGGAAAAAAAATCTTTGAATAAAGGTTAATATGTTTCATTTTATCCATTAAAACCCCAGTGGAGAGTAGTTTATGAGCAGTGGTTATAGTAGGTGAGAGCAGGGACTGTCTAATCTGTGACAATGATCAACAGAAGGCAAAGAGCTCAAAATCTGGGACCCCATCCTCAGTCATGCAGGTGCTGAAGGGTTTCCTGAGGAAGAGGGTGCAGCTAAACAGTTGTGGGATTTTTAAGGAACTGGTCTGTACTCACTAGTTTCTTTCAAAATGTTTGGATTTTGTGATTCCAGAATCCCACAGTTTAATTCTTATTGTCTAAACAAGGAATACTTATGTTATTTCTGCTACTCCATATAGTCTGGTGCTTTCTTGTTGCCCCATTGTAGGGAACAGAGAATCATTAATTCTTTCACATCTGCATGAAAGTTTAATGGGGAAATTTCTGCATTATCACTAGGAGTGCCATGCCAGGGTAGTGATGTCTGGACATGATGAAATAATTTTCATTATAAAATATTTTCATGTTGATTCAAACTATTTTCTTCCAGCTCACTTTTTTTTTTTTTAAATTGATCAGTCAAATTATCTCAACAATGCTTCTGAATTCTGATAATTTATTTTTTTTTATAATAGGATTAGGTTTCAAAAAGGATTGCTTTATTAACATTGTAAAATTTGACATTTTTAGCTATAGACTGCTATTGTTTTTCCATGGGGCAGACCTAGTTCTGATCTAAGCAGGACACTTTTAGGCATCCAGGTGATTTCAGCATATTTGGTAGAGCTTGGTAAGGCCTAAACAGTAGTTTGACTTTCTTTAAAGTATAAGAGAATGATGAGAACTCCATGAGTAATAGAGTTATGTCCATATTTTAATTAATGAAACTTTGGGAGGAGTTTCCGAGAGTCCTGACTAGTGACATAGAGTTGAGATCTCACAGATGAGTGCACGTCTCTGTGTTTGAAGCTGATAAGTTACTAGTGTTTTTATCAGATGACAAGAAATAGATTAAAACTCTTATTTAAGACAAAAGAGCTCTTAATTTTCTTGGAAATCTTTACCCATTTTGAGATTTTTCAGCAACAGACACAGATAACATTGATGTTCTGAGTCTAGTGGGGCCCCACCTACAAATGGAGAAAAACAAAAACCAATAAACTCCAGGGATTTTCATGTCTGTTACAGCAGACAGATAAGATTTGTCTGTATCATTCCATTAGGCAGGATTTCAGATTTCATTTGAAGGGGTCCACTTCAGTAATGTAATAGATTTCAACATGAAGCAAAAAAAAGAATTTTCAAAATAAATTCCTCTGCCTGCTAATAAATATTGATCATTAGCTCAAACCATAGCATTGTGTCCATGAATGGACTCAAAACATGTTGCTATCACAAAAATGATTCATAAAATTATGTCTGACCTCCTTTATCCGAATCATTTTGCAAACAAATTTTTTACTTGGATTAAAAACACAAACAAACAAACAAAAAACTCTTCAGGAGATTATCAGGTCAATGGTGCAAACATGGTATAAAATAGGTTACCACTTCAATCTCAGAAAAGCAGACATATGGTTAAACTAAGCTCAGATTAACTGCATTTGATTTTAGCTGTCCTGGTTCTGATATTTTGGAAGAAAGCTGTGTGGATATGAAAAAGTCATGGTAAAAGAGCCTTAAGAGTGCATTACAAGCTTGTTATGTGCTCTTCAACTGCAACATTAATACATGTGCTCTATGAGAATGAAAGCAACATTGGCAAACCTTAATAAAGCAACAAGGATGAAAGGTACAGACAAATAGAGTGACACTGTGTAGACCTTGAACTGGTCTGAACTTACTTTCTTTTTTTGGTCAGTGTGTTCTCAAAGTCAGGAAACTCCTTTTAAAAAGATAGAGAAAAAAGGTCTATGAAAATCAAAAATGTTTAATCCAAATCTATTATTTCTGTCACTGAAAAGACAATGAATTATATACTTTTGATGTGTGCTTTTTAATATTCACTAACATTTCTAGTCTTTCTTTTTCCAACAGCTGGAGCTGTGGAGGACACAGTGCAGCAGAGAACATATATAATTATGTGTCCTGATTTCAGGAGGCTTCAGTTATCCATGGCTCCCAGGAAGCTGACAACCATAATACCCCTGAAAATCCAGAGAACCATGCTCATAGCCCAGGAATGAATATCATATTTCTTCCATAGTATGACTCTTTGGAATTTTATTAGCATTAAAATACCCACATGTTGCAATGGGATGTGGTTTCCTGATGGACACAAGACACACACTTTGTAAACCCAAACATGCAGAGGAATGTGCAAGAGGGCAGGAAACTGCAAATAAAATTGAAAGCTCTGAAGGGGACAAAATCAAAATCAAACACTGGCCTGGATGCAAGATCACACAGCCCCCAGGGCCCAGACAATAAATATTTATACCCTGACAAGGGTGAGAAGGAGGAGAAGTGATGTAGCTGTTGAAAGAGAGAGCAAAAAGGTGCCTTGCAGGGCAAATGATACCAAAACATCTCAATGCATGTTTGCTGTGCAGTTAACCATGGACTTGAGTTTAATTTTAACTGTAGGAAAAACTAAGGATGTCATGCTAGGACAGAAGAGATCTCTGTCCCTATATTATTATGATATCTCCTGAGACAGGATATCAAAGCACTGTATCACTTTCTTCTTATTTATTTCTTCCAGCCTGAAAAGCAGGAACTGGGTTAAAAATGTCCATGATGATATCACTTCAATCTGTTGTGTGACAAGAGGCATTAAAACATAATATAACCATTCATTATTTTATAAATCTGTAAATTTAGTTTAACTGGACCTATTTCTCATGATATTAAGTTTAATTTATTTCCTTCTTGTAGGACTAACTACATCTGTATGACTCTGACCACAGTAATTTAAAAATGCCATCAAGGTTGCATTATAAAAACCCAAAACCTGTACTACATAAAACCATGTAAGTGCATAATTGAGCATTTTATACTTCTCCCCCTCCTCTCAGTAAAACTCCTCATAGATTTTTTTAAGCTTTTTCAGGCAGTGCATTAAGAAAAGGCTGTTTTTCTGTGCTGTTATTTTAGCTGAGTGTAAGAGGCCCTTTTGTCATAGATATTTGGGAATGTTAATAACTGTATGCAGTTTCCACATCTTTTGTTTTTGTCTGTGTCAATTTTCTCACAGATGCTGTATGTAGATCAAAAGAGTATACAAAATTTATCACTCACTTTGAAATAATGTAAGCAGTGTAAGACAAATTTCTTGCTGAAAAAATGTCAGTATTTTAGTCTTGGGACAAATATTTTCAATAACTTAAGAGAAATTACTAACTGAGGTGCCCAAACACATAGAAATTTAAAAAAAAAATTGAAAGTGGTTTTAAGGCTTATTGAAAAGGCAAGTGTAAAAATTTCATTGAAAAATATTAAATATTTTATTTCAAACAGGTTTGTTAAAGGAAGCATGATCCATGGAGGTCAGAGACTAAAGGATATTGTAATTTATAGTCTGTATATGATCCAGAAAAAAAAAATTAGAGACAGGCCCTATTGTGGCAATATACCTAGAAAGATTTGATGCATATCTTCACACACCAAACAGCTGATGTAGACCATGAAGCAGGGTTTAGTCTTTTGCTCCACAACTTGAAACCAATTCCTAAAGTCCAGCACGTTTGCATTGATGGCAGTACATCATATATTGAGGTGATGACTAATGTGAGTTCACAGGATAGCATGGGATGCAGTGCCAAAATGAAACAGGTAGTGGACTTAAATGGCCATTTAAAAATGGCACCTTTCATTCAACTCGTTCTTCCTGCTGTTTCTGAATCAGGTGGCTAAACTGGGGTGCAAGAATAAATTACTCTGGTTTGTACTTTTTCAACGTATCTTTTCAGTACTGACTACGTTTAAAATTATATGTAACTTTAAAATTAAACTAGTTTCTAAAAAAAAAATTATCTTAGAATGTAAATGAAGGTTCACCCTGACTTTACTCTCCACATTCTCCAAAGAACATAATTATCTTGTTTATGGGCACAATTCTTTCCTTCCTTATCCCAAATGTTTCCTAGGAAAAAACTGCTTATGGGGAAACCCTGCATGGTAAAATTATTGATCAAGTCCTTTTCTTCCTGATGTTATCAAATAACTCTGAATTAAGGAATTGAATTAAACCCTGTGGTGTTTCCAAGCTGGCTGAGAAAAGCTAGAGCTCCTGTGTGTGTTAAGACTTGCAAACAGGAAAATTACAATTTCAGATATCCAGCCCTCCTCTTGCCCTCACTGGGATCAAAGGCCAATTATAACACTGCAGATTAAGGCAGGTGTCACAACTGATTTTGATATTCCTGGCAACAGCTTAGAACAACTGATAAATTTTTTGGCTCTCTTCTGATATACAGGGTAGTCAATCATATCACAATCAGCAAGTCAAAAATATGTGGATCTTATGACATTTGGTGATTTCAGCCTGACAGGATATATATGAAAATGGGTTTAATACTGAAGGCTCTTTCCCTGAGAAGCTGGAGACAGTTCATGAGGTAGAAGACTGTAACACCAGGTGACAAGAGGTAGAAATTCAGTTCCCCAGTTAATAGCATTGTTACATGCAAGGAGTACCCATGTGATTCATTATGTGCTCATGGCTACCACCTGTTTCTGAGGAAGATCCAATTCAGATTTGGTATGCATGAACTTCAAAAAAAAAGCTCCATAAATCCATTTTTTTCTTTCTTTCTGAGAATATCACTAAAGCTGAGCAACAGGCAAAGTAATCATAAAGTTAACATGCCAATTCTCCAGGAGGATTAAAATCAAAAGACAAGTGCACATAACAGGCTCATTATAGTACCACAGGAACCCAGAGTGGAAATGTCCCTAGCAAATAATTCAGGGTAATAAACAGGTCTCTGGAGTTATGTGAAGCAGAAGAACAGTGTACATGAAAGACAGCTTTTTCTCCATACAGGATGTGTCATTTGGGCAGGGGCTTGGCCAGAGCCATGGTTCAAAAAGGAATGTCCAAAGACTGTGTTCAGTGAATGACGTTCTGCACAGCTTCAGTAACCACACTACCCTGTATTTCCCACATCTCCAGAAGAACTTGACAGCCCAGCTATGATTAGGACAAAGCACAACAGATGAGTTCACTGCAAGAAAATCACTACCTTGTTGCATTATGAGGAAGAATTTTCTCCAGCCCTGATCACCTTTTTATATGTGAGGGGAGCTGATCCTGCATACCTGCCCTGTTGATTTTGAAGTTATATAGGAAAAAGGAAGGGGCAAAGCCTACTGAGGAGGAAGTGTGTCATGCCTTTGGAGATTTAGCAGCTCTGTGGAACCTGCCATGCTTCAGCCAACCATTTAAAGACTCACTCGAGTCCATACCTACTTAGCAGTGCACTTATGTATGTGCATTACTGGATAATGATGGATGGCTAAATGGAGCCAATAATGTCCTGAATTTATCATGCTGTGGGGGCTGCCCCGCAGCCTGGAACCAAGTGACGGAATTAAAAATGGGAGAGAAGTACAAATGGGCTCAGTTAATAAGCTTAACAGCTTCATCCAAGGTGTAGCTGTAATAACTCACAGGCCAGAAATAGCAGATAAGATTACACACAGGCCTCTGGCCTTAGCCACATTTTTCCATAGGTCTTACTGCCGACACGTCATCACTGATCTCGTTTTCCATTTCTAGAAAGTATTTTATAAATAATCGTGTTGATTCTATAGCCAGCACAGTGACACAGCATCCAGACATTATTTTTAGTTAAGTGCTGAGCTTAACTCTTTTATTTTCTCTTAAACCAGAAAATAAAACCTAGACCCAGCCTTGGGAAACTTCTTGTTAATAACTAGAGAGCCAAGTGTGCCCATTAGTGTTGTTTTTATTGAGAATGAACTGTATATTTATTGATGAACAAATGTGCCATCACCATTATATCTCCTTTAAGAAAACAAAAATACATTATAAGAGGTAGCAGAAACCAAAGTGTTGGATTCTTCTATTCAGTGTTATACATGTACCTTCATGGACTATGCAGTGCTACCCCACAAAACAATGATCAATGTGGAAGATGTTTTGCTAAAATATGTTCAGATTCATGTATGGGATTTTCTAATCCTACACTAGTAGGAAATCTGCTTCTGCAGTCCGGCTCAAGGAAAACAAAAATTGTTACTGGATATGTTGATTATTTTTGTTTAGCTAAATAATTTATGAGGCCTAACTCTAACCCCATGAAATGAAAAGTCTGAAAATGCTGACACATAAAAAGCAGAATAAAACAAGAAAAAGCAAGAAACAGCCTGGTGTAAACAACCACTGCAGTTTTAAATCTTAGTTTCACACATTGTGAAAACCATAGCAGAGCACAGTGCTATGGGTGGGTCTTTACCATACCTTGAGAAAATAAAGGGCAATTTCTATTAGTTTTCTATTGCAAAGTCCATTAGAATATCATATGTCCTGTTCTGGGTACAAACAAAAAACCAAATCTGCCTTTTTCATTTTATTTTACGTTGTCTAAATACTGCTTCTAACAGATGAACCTCTATTGGCCAGAAAAATGTTTGTGTAGCAGTCATTGAAAATTAAGTTGGTTTGGAGCCATGGCAAAGGGGAAAACACTGAATGGAGGTAGGAACTGTACTATAATGTTCATCTTTGGGCATGTAGAATGGCATGCAGTACAAAAATACAAAACTAGAGCTTCCCACAATGAACATACTCCAGTCAAGCTAGGATGAGGTCACAGCCATATTTCACAACCACAATTATGCACTCTTAACTGGTAGCTCACTCATATAGTGATAAGGCTACAGCCTGGTAATGGGGAAAAACCCTGTCACTCAGGAGATCATCTCCCACCTATTGCAGGAAAAATATAATGTAGGGACATTTCAGAGCCCAGGCTCATAGATCATAACCAGCTCAGGCTGATGCTGTGAATCATCTTGAGATCTCTGCACTGCTACACTTTCAGAACCAGGACCATTATTTACAGTCCCAAGATGATTACGTGGAAGAGAGGAACATGCACAAAGTGAGGTGGTTACAGCAGACTGGTCTGAGAACAAGTTGTTTTCAGTCCTTCAGCAATTTAACAAGTGCATGCCACAATTCCCCAATTCCCTAGGCATTCTCCCATCCCACCAGCTTCAGCACTTTGTCCAAGCAAATCCTGTGTGCAAACCTACTGTGGGATACTGCAACACCAAAGGCCCAGCAGTATCATAGGTACATGGTACCTAACCCAGAATGCATGTGGGTAAAACTTGGCACAATATCTGAAGGGAGGACAGTCTCCTCTGAATGATGAATATCTTCATTCAATCACCAGACTACATCTTACATTGAAATAGAAACAATAATTATAAGTAAAGGCACATTGAAAAGCAGAGAACAGAGAATCTGAAATAAATAAGATTATGAAATTTAATATATCATTTTAAAGTATTTGCCACAGCATCATCTATTATACCAATAACACGCAAATAAGAAAGGATTAAGTAGGGTAACATCATTTAGGAAGGAGAAAAAAAAAGCCCAGAAGACAACCTTCTTCACATGTTTGCCTAATGAGGTCTTGTAAAATGTCAAGTTTCTTCCAGAGGCCATCAGTTACAAAATTCATGCAACTCACGCTTTAGAAATACATTTTTCTGTATTAATAGAAAGGACAACCAAAGACAGTGATAGTACATTCTTTAGAGACAAACCATAACAACAACTGTACCCAGAGCTTTCACATACTGTTACTTGCAAAGAGAAATTCCCTTGTCCAGTGCAGCTGCACTAATCTCCCTTTGCTGTAGAGGAGCTCATGACCTGCTTTTCAAGTGTGCTGGTTGTGACTGGACAGAAATCAGGTCACTGGCTACAGAGATGAGATGTGAACAGTGGCTCTGAAGAGACTGAATAGCTCAAACTGGCAGAGAAGCCAGCAGAACACATGCATGCCCATGTACACAGCAAGAGTTTTTTGCAAAATGCATTGCATATTTTGCAGTTAAATGCTGCTTACCAAAGACATAGACCTGTCAGGTGGCCCACAGTTTCCAGGTGTGCTCACTGGAGTGCCAGCCTGGCTTTCAAGAGTAGCTGTATCCTTGGCTTCCTGATGTTCTGGGACAGGCTCATACAGGCTGTCCATCGAGCCCTCCTAAAATACATTTAAACAGAGATGAACATTTGCAAATGTATTCAATTAACTGTAATTTAAAAAGGAAGATGTTTGTGTGATTTGCATAATGGAATGTGTTTTGCCTCCCCTGTCTTTTGAAATCCTTTACTTAGTTGGGTTTTTTTCCTCAAAAAAGGCATAGAGATGTTGATTTTAATAAGTACCAAATGCTGGAGTTCACAGTATCATGACTTAGACACCACAGATTGCCATGTTACAGTTGAAGGTACAGTAAAAGTGAATACTATCTGCTCAGAAGGAGTAAAACCAGGTGTATATCTCCAACTGAACACTACATGAAAATTCCTGTAAAAACTATGAAAATCATATACCATGAGAACTTTTAAATGAACCATAAAAATGTTTTCTAGTTAGTACTTCTATACAAGAAAAAAAAAAAAAAGTTAATTTGATGCAGAAAGATAACCCCATTACTTAGAATTAGAAAGAAACAGCACTGCCAGCACCCAGAATTTGACAATTATGGTTTAGGTCCCCAAAATAATGATAATGGGTAGAATTAAAAATTCAATTTGCATTTAAATTTTTTTGAACTCTGGGTTTTAATGCACATGTTAGGTTCTTTTTACCCAACCACCAAGAATACAAACATTTTAATAGAAACTTAGATTTTCACATTTATCCCACAGCTCCAAGAGCTAGGATTACATATACACACTGCCATTTCATAATTCAAGAGTTAAGTGAAAGCAGATGGCAAAACTAAAGACACTCTAACTGATGATCCTAAATTTTAGATGTTGCCATTTTGATCTGCACTGAATATTTTCCCAATGAATTTTGATTACTAATTTTAACTGCATTAATTAAGGAATAAATCAAATTTATAGCAGCGTGACTTACAGCAGAGCAACACCATTGAAATTAACATAGTATATTATTATTTAAAGGCATTTGTTCCTTTATTACACAAGATAAACACAGATGTATATTTGAAGTTATATTATTAATACATAAAGCTTTACAGGCAATATTTTTGACTGGTGGAGCAGCAGTTCAAAGACATGACTAATTTTTGCAAGCACAATGTTTATCAATGGATATTTATTTGCCTCAGTCTGCTAGATTCTTGATAAACCAAAATAAATATTTTGGGAGAAATATTTCGTGGTGAACTTCTTGAAAATACTCAAGTTACATACTTGAGCCTATTCTAGGAACTAATGAGTTAATGCTTCCTGGGAAATTGGTGCCTACTTTATGGAACACATGGAAGTGCTGAACATCCAGCTGAGCCTGGGTTTTGACAGCAACTGCATTTTTTTTTATTACTGCATTTCTTTTTTATCACTGTAAGTATTTTGCCATATAGCAATGATGGTTCAGCCTCCTCATCTGAAGTTGCGGGTGGATCACTTCTAGACAAGAATGATGGGTTTGAAAACTTGTTACACACTTCCAGGGTTCTACAATGTGAAATGCAACCATACTCTTCTCCTTCAAAACACAGCTTTGGTGAAGAGAGTATTTAATAAGGAGATGGAAGCATAAAAGAGAACTCATGTGAAAGAGAGAGTATGAGAGGACTAAAAAGGGAGAGAAAAGATAGGACAAGAAATAGTGAAAAGAGAGAGTGGGGGGTGGGGGGGGAGGAAAAGAGTAATAAAATACACCAAAAGGATACAGAAAGACATGGGGGGGAGAAGTGGGGAAAAGAGCAATGATAAGAGAGGAGAAGCTAGATAAATAAAGAGCGTAATGGGGAGCATGTGAGAATTAGTGCTTGAAAGAGGAAAAATGTGAGAAAGAACTCAAGCAAGAAAGAGAGAGATCTTGTGTGAGAAGGATGGAACTCAAGGGTGTGAGAAAGGGTGAGCACATAAGAAAAGGCCAGCGTGCAAATAAAACAGCAGGTCCCTGTGAAAGAGTGAGGGCGCAAGGAGCAGGACATGCATAAAAAATTATGAGGACATGAGGAAGAGGATGCATGCAAGTGGATAACATGGGAAAGCACAACTGCTGTGAGAAAGAGCACAAGAAAAAGTGAGTGCACAAGGAAGGGCCAGCACACAAAAGAGGGAGCTAGGGGAGAAGAGAAAGAAAGAGATGAGGTAGCAAGGGAGAGCCAGGGAATGTGTGAAAGCGAGAGGAGCCATGAATGAGAGCAGGAGAGGACAAGAAAGAGAGCATGAGACAGAGATGTTGGATGAGAAGTAAAGCTTTCCTGAGGAAGAGTGAACATAAGGGAATGGAAAAGTGGAGGGGGAAGCACATGGGAAACAGCAAGTGTGGGTGAAGAGCCAGGGAATGAGAAAGAGTGAGCACATGAGAGAGGGAGGGCACCACAAAGATCAAATGCAGGGAAATGACCAAGGTGTGACGAAGGGAGGACATGGGCAAGAAAGCAAAAGTGTGGGAAAGGATGGCCACAAGAAAGGAAAGCAAAAGGGGGTGACAAAGCCCATGGTGTGGGGGAGCATGGTTGCAGGAGAAACTGCCAGCATGTGCAAGGAGGTGCTGGAAAGAAGGAGTTCACAAGAGAAGCAAGGCCACAAAAAAGGGGAAGCACTCCAGAAAGGGAATGTGCAAGAAATAACGAGGGAGAAAGCACAAGGAGAAGGGCGGAGAAATGGAGTGAGAAAGCAAGCATCAAAGTTTGAAAATGGTTAAGCACAACATCATGAGAAAGAGTGTGAGGGCACAAGAAAGGGAAATCAAGGTGTGAGAAAAGGAGAGGGCACGAGAAAGTATCCCTGCATAAAAGAAAGAGTGAGGTGTGAGAAAGGAAGTGTGCACCAGATAGATTAAGAAAGCAAATATGACGGTAAGACAGAGCAAGCCCACAACAGAGGGAATGCTCACATAACAGAGAACACTCATGAGAAAGCAGGAGGGCACAGGAAAGAGTGGGTGCAAGAAAAGGTAGGGTTGCAGGCAGGAGAGCAGGACAGCACATGAAGGAAAGCACAAAGGGTAGAGCAAGGGTGCAAGAAAAGTACCAACATGAGAAAGGGCAAGTGCTTGGGAAAGGAAGCGTGCAAAGAAGCAAAAGTATGCACAGGCAAGACTGCAAGAAAGTTCTTTTCTTGAAAGACAAAAAAGGAAGTGTGAGAAAATGGAGAAAGAACATGAGAAAGAGAGTGTGCTGGGAAAATATGGCATGCAAAAAAACCAGTGAACACAAGGAAGCAAGACTGGGGGTATGAGAAGAAGGGAGTGTGAATAGCACAGGGAAGAGTGAGGAAGAAATGGTGAGCAAAAGAGAGATTGTTCAAGAAAGAGAAGGCACGTGCAAGAAGTGAGTGTGCAGGCAGAGAGACAGTGAGAATGAGGTTGTGATGGAAGCGGTGAGGTCATGAGAAGGGGAGAGACAGTGCAAGGCCACGAGAAAGAGGGTCTGTGAGGAAGGGGATAAGAAAGAGCAGGACAACTTGTGAGAAACAGTGAATATGTGAGAAATGGTGGACAAGGAATCCTTGTGACAAACAGAGCACTCAGGAAAGAGGGAGAAAGGGTGCAAGAAAGTGAGCACCAGGGCATGAGATTGAGTGGCCATGAAGTATTAAGCAAGGGAGAAAGGGCATGATGGTGCAGAAAAGAGAGTGAGGTCACATGAAGAGAGAAAATGGGTGAAGGAGCAGGATCACAGGTTCTAGACAAAAAGGATGAGTTTAAAACCTTTCCAGGATTCTGCAACATAAAATGTAACTATATGCTTCTCCTGAATAGGGAATAATACATGGCATTGTTGAAGTAGGAGAGAAGCATAAAGAGAGCTCATGTGAAAGAGAAGCATGAGAAAGATAAAAAGAGAGAGAAGAGAAGAGAAAAGGCAAGGAATAGTGAAAGGAGAGAGTGGGAGGAGAATTAAAAGATAAGAAAAGGACACAAAAGAAGATGGAATGAAGAGAAGAAGGGAGGCTTTTGTGGGCTCAGATGACTGCAGACACAAGAAAGAGTGAGAGCACAAGACAGAGAGGGAAAGTATATGAGAGAGGACAATCAGGAAAGCAAGTGCAAGAAAGAAAACTCACACAAAAAAAGCACAGGAGTGAGAAGGATAGCACCCAAAAACATCTCCTGTTTTCAAAATAGTTTTCTTTCCTTGCTGGTTTTACACTTTATAAGAGTATATTTTCCTTGTAGTAATTGCCTTTCTTTGAGGGCAACTTAAAGTATGTAACTGAAATTGAAATTTTCTTGCTCCCTTCTATTTTATTTTATTTTGCAGTTAAGTCTGCTTTTATACCAAACCCTGCCAAGTCTGTAAAGTTTTTTTTCATTTCATGTGTTAATTCTTTTAGTAGTCCTGAGCACAGTAAACATCACAGAGGAAAATGAGAGATGCCAGAATAAAACATGAACTTAATTCTGAAGTAGTTAGCACATTTTCTTTATACTACATGGAATAGGAAAACTTTCTGAAGCTTTTTGCTTCAGGAGTTTTATGGGACAAAATATCCAAAATATCCTAGTTCTGATCAGGAAGAAAATAATTGCATGTAGCTCTTTTCTTTGCATTATATTTTTATCACCATGCCATGCAGAGACTAGGTTGATCATAAGGTAGAGAAGGAGAATTTAGTAACTCAGCAAGGTCGTTTTCCATCCCAGGTTTAGGGGTGGAACCCTGTTCATGGTGGGATGACAGCAATCCAGCTAAAAGGAACAAGGGCTATATAGAGATGATTACATGGGAAGCACTACAAAGTTCAACCACTTCTAATCATGCATCACTTTAGAGGAAGGTCTTTCCACATTTAGCTAATCCTTCTTTGGTAAAACATATTTTTAAGCCCAGTCCATTCCTAAGTACCATCATGTCCCACTAGTCAGAGCAGCATTAGCACCTTTCTATGGTTTCTTTAACATAGAGGCTTCAGCTAATTCACAATTTATCCACTACATCACTTTTATTAATACTTATTCTCTCTGCATTTTGCACTATAGAAACATTAGCTTTTAGTGCCAAGGGCTTTTTCATTTTATAACATTAGATGTAATACATTTTACATTGTGCTGTCAGCACATCTTTAAAACAACAATCAAAATAAAACATAACTAGTCCAATGCTACTGAAAATCACTAAGAGGATTAGACTTTCACTCAGTACTTAACTTCATATTTTACTAGCAAAAGTGGTGGTTAGAAAGGCACCATATGGGAAAGAAATAGACAAATGAAAGGGATCTTGTTTGGCTTAAATCCTAAGAGCAGTGCTCAACTTGAATAACTGATGTGAACAACACTGTGATTAGGAGTGTCACAGCATTTCTCTACTGGCCCTCTTACACAGGTTTCTGCTGTGCTTTCTTATGAAAACTTTACTGAAGGGCAGGGGTTGTGAGCATAGGTCAGGACAGGTTTAACAGGTACTGTTCCAGGTGAATTGGTGCTAACCCTGGTGTGTATATCATTGATATTGGAGAGCCAGTTTAGGAAAATAATGCAGGAAAAATAGTCTACCTTAACTAAAGGAATTCACAGTTCAATAAAAAAATTAATTTATCAGATTTGTAGGATTCTGATATTTATTAGGCAGTGTATCAAAACAGGTTGTTTGGCAGCATAATTTCTTGCAATTCATACAAAAGCAGCGCTTCATTTGGGACTCTCTCTGTATATTTCCCATAATACAAAGAGTATTGTTCTGATTCAATTGTCTGACATGCTAAGCACCATGAGATGGAAAAGACACTGCAAATTTAGGGTCTTAGGTTGACCTTTTAACATAATATATCTACAAAAAAAGGGACATTTACCCTGTTGATCATTTTATAAATGGAAAAGGGACACAAGGTTTTGAAGGCAAATCTAATTTGCCTGCAAATCTCTTCAGAAGAAAGGCAATGAGTCTGATGAGAAAGATCATGTCAATTGAGAAACCAAATCATTCTGAAGTCAACTCAGGACACAAAGTACTGCTGGGGAAACACCCCATGCTGGAGCACTCATAATAGGAGATCAGAGGACTCCCAGGTGGTAACAGATTGGAGAATTTCCCGTTTGTCTCACTGGGAAGGGGAACATCCAGTTCAGGCTCCAAAGCCTCATCACAATCATCTTGTGACTATTATGTGTCTCCAGCTTCTACATCATCACTTGATAGACTGTGTCTCATGCTAGAACTATGTCTCAGTTTTATGGACAGGTATGAAAGAAAACACCAATTAAAATTCAATAGTACGAACAGAGGTTCCTCTAACAACATCGTTGTTCCACCACTTTGGATCAGCCAGAAGTCTGGCTAAACAGTATATTATTGTCATTCTCTTAGGTTGTAGATTACTTTTAACCACTATGCTCCACCACAGTGCAGAAAGGTATTTTCTGAGCTATAAACCAGTGTATTTTAACAGTATGTGCATATGCACACATAAGTACACACACACATGGAATCTTTGCATCCTGAAATCTTGTCAGTCAGTCTACATGAGATAAATACTTCTGTGAGAATATTATTTCTTTTGTACAGCTCTTTTTGTTCTGTCTGTCAGTAGTCTGAATTTCTCTTCCACAGTTTCAGGTTTGGCAGTTGCTCCAGATGTTCACTTGATGTAAATCAACCATGATTTCTATTCCTTGGTGGCTGTTTGCATCTCCTAAGGAACTCTCTTCCCTACTACCTTTAAAAGTTGTCTTTGAATCCTAATTATGCTGTTGCTGTTCATTATTTCTGGCTTGACTTCTTTGAAGGGAAAAGTACCCAATATTGATACTACAACTACTTTGTAGCCAGCCTCTCCATGGTCACAGGGTGACAGAGTAAAAGTGGCCCGTGCACATACTTGGATCTCCAGCTCATTTCCAATCTAGACAATCTGAATACTGAAAGCAATTGCCCCATGTCACAGGCACAGGGAGGACTGCACAGGGATCTTCCTTTTATGAAATCCATTAATGATCTATACATTATCTTTAGATGTTGATAACTTGTGAGGTGTTTTGCTGGGTGAGCAGAAGATTACCAAAGCAGACAGAATGGCTCCCATGTAAAGCTTGTAAAGAAGGGAGGTTATCTTCTTAGCAGCAATCTTTAAACAGAACTAATTATTTCATTACAGAAACTATCATGGCACCAGCTTTCACTTGTCTGAACCATCCATTATCACAGCAGTCATTGCCTCTCCCACAGAAACCCTGGGTGCTGCATACCGAGTCTAACAGGGAAACTCAAACTTGACCTACTCTCACCCACACAATCTACCTGACATTTCATCTAAACGTTGGTTTCTCCACCAATACAAGGCTCAACACCCTTTTTAAAAAGTGAACTACATAGAAAACAAGAAGCTGCTCCAACAGAACAGTAAAGTATTGATAGAACAGTTCTTTCCCAAAGAACTACTGAAATGAGTATTTTCAAGCTGTTACAGGCTGTACCACAAAGCCATTGTTAACTTTGTACAAATACACAGGCATTCACACTAAACTGTGATCAAAACTGTCACTGAGTTCCCAGGGAATTATTTTTTTTAAATTCTCTTGTCACAGATTCCTGAAATATCACTGCATTTTACTTTAAGTACAAGTCAGCTTTTAATCCTTATGATCTGGAAAACACCAGGACTCTGCACTAAGATAGTATTAGCAATCAGGAGCAATGACTTACGCAAAGCAGTTGTTCTATTTGAGCTTGTATTAGTGCAGCTTGAATATTGATTTTTATTGTTCTTTTTAAATGTATGGGAAAGACATACTAAACATCAGGACAAAAGATGAAAAATGGGCAAACAGATCTACTGTGCTGTGTAAATACAGCAAATATACTCAGCTAATTACCATTACTAATACTGGGCATTGGTATTGGCAGATGGTTAAGCTCTTAAAACAGAAACAGTTTCTGTGGATTTCCTATCCTGATTTACCTGTGCATTCTGAGCAGTTGCCTTGGGGCAAGGAAAGTGAAGCAGGGGAAAAAAAAGGGAAAAAAAACCAAACCAACCAACCAAAACAAATAAACAAACAGGCAGAAAGAGAAAGTGTAAAAAAGCAACACCAACTAAAGAGGGTCATAAATCAAGTTCTCTGTCTGTGTGCAAATATTGCCATGACTAAATTTTCCCTGAGGACTATGCTGTCATGTTTGGCTAATAGAAAACTACTGCTTGAAAAGTTCTAACAGTTCTCCAAAACTACTGAAGAAGGAGAAAAGGATACTATTATCTAAAAACAAAATAAAAAAAATACTTCTGTAAAACAAATTATATCATACCTATATTTAGTAATTTTATCTTACTTCTGATGTGTTTTACCATATTTGGATTAAATGTCTCATGACTAAATCTACATGTTTTTGCAACAGTCACAGATAGTGCATGGCACATTTGTTATAGATTCTTTACTTTATATTTTTACTGAATCATATTTTGCTACACACAGTTTCTTATACAAAAACTCTTTCTAGGCTAGAGAGACTCACTGTTGTTATACAACCCTTGCTCTGTTTGTGAAATAAACCCTTCGTTATTTTCTATAAAAGCACACCCACCAGTTCAGTTTATAAACTCAGTAACCCACTAAAAAAAAAAAAAAAGTGTTTGTGCACACTTACCAGAGAAAAACAGAAAAGATTCATGTTGGTGTTGAGATCCAATCCAGCACCCTAAAATTCTGCTCCACAAACTCCTGCCGCACAATGTCGTTCCTTCTTGCTCTCCCAGCTGTTTGTACATTTCTCCCTGGAGATTACTGCAAGATAAAATCCCTGCAATAATCCACTGGATTCAGAGCCCATTATCAAATGAGACAGGCTTCCCCAGGCCAATACAAACTGTTTTCTGAATTAAAGAGCAGTGTTTACTAGCAAAACAAAAGCACGGTCTGAATGATTTTCATGAACTCAGAAAATGCTCTCTTGCAGGCTGGTGTTTCCATTAAAGTTTATCAGCTAAGAGAAATAAAACTTTCTCTGTCTCAGACTACTGGCACATGCAACTAACTCCAAGGCAAATATTCTCAATTTACTGAGATTATCAAAAGACAGAAATTCTCCTGAAATGCTGGTTTCCTATACACATGAATTCATATACAAAATTCAGTAATTATTAGATTGTGAATGGAATCTTCTTACTTACAGTTCTTGGGAAAAAAAAACAAACTTGTGAGTCACAAACAAATTATTGAAAATACAACCAACCAATGAAAAACCAAGAAAAAACCTCAAATTTACAACTGTACTCTAAAAAATAGTTATCAAACTGCTGCTTAACATGTCAATTGCTTGATGATAAAGATTAGGATAAAACCAATTTTGCCGTTTAAAAACTTGGCAAATCTGAAAAATAAAAAAAAATTGGGAGTGGTTAAAGCTGATCCATGGGTTATAGTGAGAGGTATTACAATGTATACAGACGAGCAAACAAAGAAGAAGTGATTGTAGAGAAAATACTTGTCTGTGTCACTAGCTGGTATAAATCAGTGACATTCCATCACCTATAGTGGAGTAGAACAGTCTAACAAAGAAATAATGATGAAAAAGTACTGTCAGTCTCAATTTTTACAGATTATGAAATACCTGAAATTAGACTGTGTTTGGAATAATATTGCCCACCAACCCACAACTAATTTCCCATAAATTAATTTCAGACAGCTTTTATGTGAATGCCATAAAATTTGATTACATGAACAAGGAGCAATTGGTACTGAAGAGAGAAGATGAAATTCATCACAAATGGAGAGGCAGTGTTGTGTTGTGACCATGATCTTGATTTTCTTTCCTTGGACCCACATCTTCATATTTGTAAAGGACAGGCTTCTATTTCATCACTCCTATTTCTGACTATTTCAGTTTATTCTCGTAACTTTGTAGTCTGAATCTGCATCCCAGAAAATTTGAAATGTCTGTACTTTGGCAGGATAAACACATTTTCACATAAGTTGATTTCTACCATGAGCAAAACCCAAACAAGGCTTACACAAACACAGATAGATTCAGGATTTGAAAAGGAAAATCCTTAACTTACACTTTTCCAGCTTGCTGTGAGCTATGTAAAAGTCTTCTTGAAGGCTTTTCTCAGGCCTCTTTTTCAGTTATAATTTTGGGCTGGTTGCACATATTAGTAAAGTAGGGTTGTCTGTGAAGAGCTTTATGACAAATGTTATCATTTGGAAGAAAATTAATGAGACTTCTCATTTACTCCTTCTGTAAACTTGAAGAATAGTAACAGATTTTGTCAATTACCACCTAGTGACACAAAAATAGACATTTGAGAGACCAAGCTTGCCACAGATGGGCTTGCATTTGCTTTATGGCTCACTTGCTAGTTTTCTTGTGAGGGAGCAAGTACTAATCCTTCCTGTGCCTCAGGTTCTCCAGCTGGAAAAACTAAACTACCAGCAGAAACCTCATGTGCAGAGCACTATGAAAGTAATGACCAAAAGCATCCTTTCCAGCTACAGAGAATTAATTACTTTTTTTTTTAATGCCTATTTAAGTAATAGCTATCTGAAAAACTCCAGAAAGACTGAAGAGCTAGTAAAATTACAATAAATAACTCAGGAGGGAATGTGTCTTCCATTCAAACTGATTTAATTTCTTGATTTTGGGTTGTAGCTTTAGACGTGATTTTAGAGGTGATACTCTGAAACATTTAGGAGGAAGTTTCTTGATTTTGTACCACAGATCCTCAAGGCATGAGTAACTTACCTTAAAAAGGTAAGTTGCCTTAAAAGGGCAGACCTTAAACTAAGCTATTCAGTTTTCATTTTGCCTGTATTTGTAGACATGCAGAACAGTAAATAATTTAAGAATAAACATTAAAATAGAAAAAGCAGCCTGTACCTACATTTATAGATATGCATATATGGCAAGGAAACTGTGTAGAAATGCAAAAATGCACATGATATTACATGGGTTTGGGTACTGTCAGTGTTAAAAGTCTTCTTATGAAAAAGTAGCACTTCAGATGTTTATTATTCACTGATACAACTTTCTGTAAGGGTCAAGTTTGTTGATAGGCCTAAACTAGAGATGACATTAGACTACTAGATAAATCACAAACTGTAAGGAAACACCTACTAGAATAATTAAAATGAGAAGCAACAGATTATTATCGGGATGAATAATATAAATAAAATACTCAGTAAGAGTTCATAATGCCATTTGACACCACAGCTCTCTGTGGAAAGAATTTGAGCTTTGAGAATAATTAAAAAACAGTAACTAAATAGATCAAATTTGAAAGTAACATCAGTGTTGTGGCCTCTATGTATATTTTATCTGTTATAAATAGTGCATTTTTCTGCAGCAGTAGCATAACAGAACAGCAAACCCAGTATAACAGGGGACAGGAAAAAGTTTTTTATCAAAGAGTTGAACCTTCACTTCCCAGCTTTAATCTTACATTATGGTTAGAATTTAATTCTCTTTTATTGCTGCTTTGTGATTTCTACATGCTTGGGCTTTACATCCTAAAAAAAAAAAAAAAAAAAAAAGGTCACACAAATTGAGACTTTCGTATATTGAGTTTTCTGTTTCTGCACAATGTAGACTTCATAGCTGAGATCTCAAGGCAAAAAAAAAAAAAAAAAAAAAAGTCACACAAATTGAGATTTTCGTATATTGAGTTTTCTATTTCTGCACAATGTAGATTTCATAGCTAAGATCTCAAGGCATCCTTGGCCTTTTTAGGAGCTGGATTTCAGCTGTGTGTTCACAGTAAGTGGCAATCCATAATCTAACATGGCATACAAGCAGTAAAGGTCGAGCTATGGTGCAGGTACTCTCAACTGAGCCCTAGCTCCAGGCTCCCCTTCTAATGACAGCCAATCTACTGGTGCAGCTTCATCTGCCACTGGGAGAACTCAGCAGGGCTGTGTGGTTCACAGATTCTTTGTGTGATGGACAAAGATAAAATAATGCATTAGTAGTTGTTAACTTGGACACATTTCAGTAAATATGGAAATAATATTTGCTCCTATTTTCTTCCTCCTCCAGTTTTTCCACTTATAGCATATCAATCCTTAATTAAAATATACATCTACTTCTCTTCTGATCATCATTTATTTGTCATCTGAATGTTTTCATACAGGTTTAAAACTAAAAGCAACAATGCTATTGCCTGATATAGTCTGAGTGTTAAACATGGAACTGCTTGTAGGCTGAGTGGTCACATTTCTCTATTCACTCCACGTAAAAGGCTGAATTATTACTTTAATATAATTTCCAAGTAAACATAGTGTATTGCTGTTATCTTGGTGGAAAGTGGAAGTTCAGAAATTAAGTCAGAGTCTTTCCCTCTTGCTGTCCCATTTCTTTGGAGAGAAGAACTTTCAGCACTTCCTTTCAGCCAGTGCCTACTCCATAGCCCACTTATTCCCTGACATGTGAGGGCAATCCCATAGGTGCACACTGGATAAAACCCCTGTCTCCTTTCAGGTTCTCCTGCTCATTTCTAACAGGCAGGTAACAAAGCAGTTCTTTGCAGAGCTGTGTGATCCGCAATCCATGGCCAAGTGCTCCATGAGAAGTCCTTATCTGAACCTGGGAAACTTCTAGTGTAAGACAAGTTTAACATTTTCTGTCATGCACATCCCCTGAAGACACTCTAAATGGTAGAAAGCTCCATTTCAGACCACAAACACAAGAGAGTCTCTAAGACAGAGCTACTAACATTTGATATTCCTGAATCAGATGTTCCAATCAGTGGCTCTAAATTACATCTACTTAATAGTTTGGAAAGGACCCATGAAGTACCAACTAAAAATCTGATTCCTTAAACGGTATTGATTTTTTTTTCTTTTAGAATCTCCTTCAATTTAGAGGCAGCTTCTTCATTTCCTCCTTTTACATTCAGCAGCTAATTAAAAATTGGTAAGGAAAAAGCTTCACAATCTTCCTCACCTCTGCCAAATTGCAATAGTCTGTTCCTCCTCTGAAAAGACAATCTTACACATGCAGGGATCAATTTAACACAGCAGCTTTTACACCTTTACAACAAGGATTTTCAACAGAGTTTAGCTCAGTTAGAGATTATTTTAATCTAACTCAACATAAAACATGTAACATTTACTTCACCCCAGAAAATCAAGCAAATAAAGACAAGAGCCAATATTCCTTAACTCAAAATCAAATCGGCAAGTAAAATGCTTTCACAGTTTCCAGGATCCAAGGGAAGCTCTGTGCATATTAAAGTCACTGGCAAAACTCCCATCAAATTCTCTGCAATCAGAATTTCACACACCTTCTCCTGCTAACTGATCACATTTAATCACAGCATCACAAAAGCCATGGTGTTTTCCATATGATTCATTGTAACATTCAGCTATTCCTTGAGGTTAACCTTCTTTTCAGGTTAAATAACCACATTGTTCTTTCCCTTGTTCCAACAATTTAATTTTGTTTTTCAGAGCATTTGTATTTTAATGAAAGGAAAAACTGCATCTCTGTTTTAGAGAGGAAATGTATATTTCCTAAACAGGAGGGCCAAATCCCCTGCTCTATAATTTACAGAAACTCAATGAATCACCCCCACACATTCTTTATTGCTATCTAGCACTATACTGCAATTTAGAGTGAAAACTGCTAACTTCTATCATCAGGTCAATTTATGTATTATCAGACAAAACTGATGTCTACAGTGAATTATGGGTATAGGAGTCATTATCTTCCCAGAGCACCTTGAAAACGAGATGTCTAATCTCAGTAATGTAAGTTTCCTGGTTAAATAAATCCCTTGTGCTTAGTAATT